GACTAGAAGGCATCAGATCTGGGACAAGACAGAACAGGAAGACGGTCTACTTCTTAAACAGCCTGGGAAAAACAAAAAACGTAAGCTAAGATGGTGAAAAGAACAGATTCTATTAAAAGTGCACATGAAGACAAACATTCTGTCCTCTGGAAGGCAACGGATGTGACATTTGGAATAACCTCTTTCCACTCCCTCTGCTTTAGCATCTATATCCTCCCAGAACCTACTGAAATCAAGAAACCCATAGCAGGCACCCATTACTATACCAAACATCTAGCATAGATTTTAACTGATTCTTGTTATTTTTAGCTAAAATCCGTATTATGATTCAAAATTCAAACTTCCTTAAATACTATATTCTTTATCTAAATCGCCCTATTTATGTACTCATTTTTTTTTTAAAGGAAAACTAGGAAAGCTAATGATGTCTCTCTTTGGAAGGTGTTAGAATAGTCAATCCCTTGGCACTGCTCTGCAAAGTAAATCTTTAGAAGTGATAAACTCTGCCAAGTATTTTTATATTTTGTTTGTTTGTTTGTTTTGTTTGGGGCTCATACACAGTAGTGCTTAGGGCTTTGCTGGATCTTTGCTCATGAATCACTTCTGGCAGTGTTCAGAGGACCAAACACGGTGCCGGAGAATGAACAGTCATACCTTACAAGGCAAGCACTTAATCCCCTGTAGAATCTATACAGTCTATCCATTATATTAAATTTATATTAACAATCATTTCCATTCGTATTATACTCCATCCATAAGGGTCCAAGAGAACACAAAGGGTTGGAGTGCATGTCTGGCATACACCAGGCCACAAGTCTGACCCCTGTAGCATGTGTTAACATGTGTTAACATGCTACCCTATCCCAGAATACTGGTCATCCCTTGAGCACTGATAGAAAGCAATGATCACAAAAAAAATTCTAGCCAGATACAGTACCAGTCTTCTAGTATATGTACCGATCCATTTTTAGGTCATTTTCTATTGAAGACTTTTAAGTCACAAATTTTACACAGCTTTTGGAGGTTTTGACCAAAACTTAATCTTTCTGCAATTTCCCAAGTCCAATCTGTATCACTAAAGCATCTGAAAATTATTCGAAGCAAACTTTCCAATTAATTTCAAGAGGTAATCACTAGATTATCCTCCTAACGACAAATCTACACTTTTGTGCAAGATCTGAAAGTTAAAATTCACCCTTCCCTACTCATTCTATATTTTTCATTACATTTTTAATGAACATCAGTGAGCTTTCCAGAGTAGTAAGCTAAGTCTCATGATTGAATTTTCTGAATTTTCTGTTATACAGTCAGAAATAGGAATGAAGTAACCTGTCCATGTTTATTGGCATTGAGGCTAACTGGCACTTTATCCTGTGTGTAAAACTCAAACACTGAAACAGCTTGTTGTCAGTTTCAGAAACCATCTTTTACAAGCATGGCACACTGCCTCAACCCAACTAAATAAAAGCATGTTGGGCTGCCCACACTGCAAATTATTTGGAATGTTTTCCATGTTTTGTGGTTCTGAAAGTACCTATTTCAAATCAGGGCCACAACTAACCCTCACCAAAATTCCCAAGAAACTGAAACTATAATTGATCAACATCCCATCAGCTCTGGGAGACTAATCTCAAGTTTATAGTCAAACACTCAAATACTATTTAAAAGCGGAGGAGATAAACAAAAATTCCATGAAAAATGTTACTGTTTCAAGTGAACACTACTAATTTACCCTATGATACTTTGTCATAGTTTAAAAAATAGAAACAAAATTCTGCTCAATGCAACAAAGTAAAGGCATCTGTAGCAAATATAAACACATTTCTTGCAACTGCCAGGCAAATTAAAGCAGAAAATATATTTAAAAATATTTTATTTTTCATTTGCATATATTGAGATGTAGCCACTTCAACTGTGATTAAAGATATGGCAAAGCTTTGCTTATAATGGCCGGAGCACTTTATTATACGCATTATTTTCTCAAGCATTAATGGGTACCTCTTTTAAATCAAATACTTAGAATATCATTTCATAAAACAGAATGCCAAAATTTACCAAAGGTTTGCCTCCCAAGTCCTCTAAACTCCATAACTGAATAGATACCAGGAAAGCCACCTTTGAGGAGTTAAAAGAAACACAAAACAGACAAGATAAATTTTACCTAGGAATTCCTCTCCTAAAGACAGATTATTGAAGAATAGGAAATGTCTGTTCCAAATATTCGTTGATATAATGACTCATTTCATTTTAATAAACTGAGGTTAGGATAACTGGCATATGGCTCCCTTGTTGAAGCCAGTTGTAAGAATATGAACACACTTGAAAGCAATATATTTGGATTTGGGACAGGGAAATGGGTCACACCAGGTGGTACTCAGGGTTTACTCCAGGTTCTGTGCTCAGGAATCACTACTGGCTGGGCTGGGGTTGGGGTGGGAGGGGAAGCACAGACACAGTGCTAGAGAGGAACACTGGCACCAATTATGCAAGGTAAGTGCCTTACTTGCTGTACTCTCTCTCCAGCCCAAAGTACTATATTGGGCAGTGGGGAGCGTTGAGGTCACACTCAGTGATGCTCAGGGGTTACTTCTGGCTCTGTACTCAGGAATTACTCCTGGTGGTGCCTAGAGGTCTATTTTTGAGATTTCAGAGATCAAAACCAGGGAAGCCAGGTGTAAGGCGAGCTCTCTATTCATTGTACTGGCTCCCCAGTCCTGAACTGTAATTTTTCACTTGACTGATCCTGTTGAAAATTCTGATGGGGAAAACGTTCTAAGAGTATACATGGACATCTATTTTGGTCCACCTATGAACCAATATAGCAATATACAATACAGACTTGTAAAACACATAGTTTCAGAAGGATTCATTTACAAAACACTCATCTTTAACCAAAAAAACTACATATAAAATCTCCAGGTACTCACATTAATCATTTTAGTGCCATTTTAGGAATTTAAATACATCTATTATAGAACCCTAAATTTTTACTGAATGCAGTACTTTTTCTGCTCCCCCCACCCCTGCTAAAAAAGTAAAATGGCATCCAAACTTAGGATTTTAAATGTGTAACTTAGGATATTAAATGTGTAACATTTCCAGAGCAAATTTTTCCCATGAATGTTGTTTGCAACAAATTTTGAGAAATTCTTAAAATGGTAAGCTCTTTTTTCAAACATATCAATTTTAAAATATTTGACATGAGCATGAGAAGATTATGCTCAGAGATGAAAACCTATGTCCCAAAGAAAACGTTACATTAATGACTATTCTGGAATGATTGTTTGTTTGTTCATTGTTTGACCCACATCTGGCATTGCTCAGGGGGGTTACTCCTGGCTCTTCACTTGAGAATTACTCCTGGAAGTGCTCACGGGACAATATGGGATGCCAGCGATTCAACCCAGGTCAACTGCATTCGAGGCAAGTGCCCTACCCATTGTACTAACGCTCTTCCTCCTCGAATGATTTCTTTCAAAATATTCCCTCTATATTAAATATATGTATATATATATGTATATGTATATATATACAATAGTCCTTATCTATTTTGTCAGTGTACATTCATCACACAAAATTGTAGGTATTCATCTGAGCACGTAAACAGCATGACATTCTTTTAACAAGCTCCCACATTCAATTTATATTTTTTGAAAATAATTTGGATGTAATAATTTATGTGAAATTTGGGCTGTGTAAACACCTCACCTTCCAACAGCATATTGAATGTGTACGCATCACAGGTACAGTGTGAGAGAAGGCAGACACAGGAATAGACGGTGTGGGAAACACCTGGGGGTGTGAGAAAATGGGCTTTCTTCACCCACAAGACACATTTAACCATCGGTGTGCTTCATACTAGGTCTCATCAAATAATTATATCTATTACCCTACCTCATCCCAGGGTTAAACTGTAGGAAGATATGACGGATTACGCAAGAAATGTCTGGTGGTATTGATGATTCTTAGAAATACCTCTTAACGTGCGTTGGAGTTCTTTTAAAACTAAGACATAATACAAATCAAGTCTTCCAATGTACAAGGAGAAAATCCTATCATTAAACTATGAAGATACAGTTACAAACTCCAGGATCATCTCCTGGACAAACCCCATCCCACTAGCGGGCCACCCACATCCATTTTCTCTGTCTCCAGACCCCGTCTAAATATTTCCTCCAGGACTTAAAACGATCGCTTTGAAAACTTGAGCTATCCCTCGGGGCTACATTTCAGAAAGAGACGTTGACTTGTTTGTTGTGTTCTAGCACCCTGAACTTCCAGGATTTTTGAGATTCAAATAAATGTATGCATATATGTTTCCCAAGGGGAACAGAAGATGGAGCAACCAAATCAGGCGACGCTGAAAAAATCCCCCAGGGCTGCAAGCAAGGCACAGAGACCGGAGCTTGCCCCCTCCCACCCCTCATCCACCACCCCCGGAAGGGGCAACCTCTGCCAACTGTGGGCGCTCACGTGGAGCCTTCTACCTAGGGCAACAAGGGATCCTCTGCAACCCCAAGGAGCGCCCAGACCACGGTGCAAAAGTTCCAGAGACTTCCATCCCCTTCCTCCCACACCCAGCACTTAACGTTCTAGAGGAGAGAGTCCGGCCGGCCGTGGGAAGAAAAGGAAAAAAAAAGAAAAAGAAAAATCGGGGCGTTGGGTGCCAACCTGCTATCGACGGGGATCCAAGAAGGCCTAACAGCTCCGGAGGGCAAGGGGCTGGGGGGCGAAGCTGTCTCCGGGGAAACTGAGTCCCCACCGGCCCCGACCCGGTGGCACTGGCTACTGAAATAACTCCAGTCCAGCTGCAAATCCCGAAAATCGCGGCTCCTCCGGAGCAACTTCGTGGGAAACAGCCTCCTCCTTCCCCCACCCCCCCATCCCCGCCGGCCACACACTCCTTCCTCCCCGCCGCTCACCCATCCCCAACGCCGGCGGCTACCTGGCCCGGGGAGGGTGGGGGTGGGGGTGGGGGGCCCGGGGACCCCGAGACTCACCTCATACAAAGGGCGGCGGGCGGGCGCTGGCCCGAGCGCCCCGGGCGCGTGGCCCCCAGCAGTCCCTCCCGGAACTTTCCCGACATAGCACGAGTCTCCTCCGCTGCAGAAAACAACGGCGCGAGGCAGAGCAGGAGGACCGCGAGGAGGAGGAGGAGGAGCGGGAGGAGGAGGAGGAGGAGGAGGTGGCGACCGCACTGCCGCGGCGGCGGCGGGAGCCGGAGCCGCAGCCGGGAGTGAGGAGCATCGCGGCCGCGCGCCGCCGCCGCCGCCCGAGCTGCGGAGGGTCCCCGCCCCCGGGGGGACCGAAGCTCCCTCTTAAAGGCGCCTCGCGCGCTTTAGGACTGGGGGGTTAGGGGGTGTACGGAGGGGGAAGGAAAGGAGGGGAAGAGGCAACTGAGGAGGGGAGGGGGCCCAACAGAGACCGACTGATTTCGGAGGCCACAGTCTGGGCAGTGCCCGGGCTGCTAGGTGCTGGCCCTGGTCCGGCTGCTCTACCCGCTCCCCTCCAACTCCGATCGCCCCACGGTCCCCGCAAAGGCGCCGAGTAGGGCAACTACACACTGAAGACCACCCTTGAGCCCCCACCCTCCTACCACGAGGTTCCTGGAAACCTCGCCCCTTCAGCTCACCTCGGGCATCCTGTGAACAGGATCGTGGCTTTGTGGAGCTTCCAGCCGAGGCGCCCCCCACCCAGCGCCCCCAGAACCCCAGCGCGCTGCTGGCGACTGCCCACTGGAATTGCATGTGCTGCGGTATTTTCTGCCCTGCCGCTTTTTCTTCTGGTTCTAGCACGGGGGGGGGGGGGGGGGGGGGGGGGGGGGGTCGAATGCCTCAGGAATCTGAATAAGGACTAGCTAACGCCCCCTAGGGTGCACGCCTAAAGGTGTGTCGCTGCGTCCAATGTCCTGTGCTCTCATCTCTTCCAAATGGCCCACTGCCAAGTAGCCTCTAGATGGATTTTTGAAACTACTTACTTGCCTCAGCAAAGGTTGACGGGTAAAGATAGCCAAGGGAAACTGAGGATGGTCCTTCAGAAAGATACCTGCTATATAGATCTAAGTAGAACTGGGGAAATGATTTTAGGGGCAAGTAAAACTTTTTCCAGTTGTCATCACTTATAATTTTTGCTGAGATCACCAGTAAGTTCAACTAAGATAAGGATCTCCTTTAGACACAGGGCATAAAGAGCCATATCATGTTGATGTGGACCCCCAGGCTTTTTTTCTACCTCCAGACTCCAGCTCTTTGGGGGGTTTGGTTGTTTCTTTTGGTTTGAAGGCAACCCCCTAGGGAGCTCAGGACTTCCTCCTGGTTGCATATCTGGTGGCCAGCATCAAAGTGCTCTGTCCTTCGATTTGTTTCTTAGCACAGTGAGAGCTTATAGTGCAGTGCATACAGTGAAGTGCCTTTGTGCCCTCCACACTGGCGTCTGGATGAATTGGCAGTGGATAGGCAACTCTAGTGAAAACGGGGCTACAAAGTCTGGGTGAGAGAATGTGGAAGAGAGTGGTATTTTCAACTCAGAGGGTACATTTTCAGAAGCCTGAGACTGAATGAACTTCAGTTCTCCTGTTCTTTGCATCAGGGAAACATGTTCAGCGGTATTTTTGAGGAAGAGCTAAGACAAAATGCAAAAGACTGTGGCAACTTTTCTTTGCCGGGGTTGGGGGCAGGAGGTGGTTGAAGTCGGTTGGGGCCAGAGATGCTCGGGGATTACTCCTGCCTCTGCACTCAGTAATTATTCCTGCCAGTGCTCTGGGGACCTGAGCACTGGCAGGAATAATTATGGGATGCTGCCGATCAAACCCAGGTAAGCCAAGTACAAGGCAAAGCCCTACCTGTTATACTATCTATTTGGCCCCTGTGGCAACTTTTCTCACTAGATGGAAAAGAAACAGATATAAAAGCTGAAGACTTTTCCAGGAGAAGCTTGAATCTAAAGGTTGGACATGGGAGTCTCCTGGTGGGTGGTTCCACAACGAAATTGACCACATCATATTCATTCGACCGTTTTGCCTGACCGATGTCGCTGTTGTCCCAAAATTCCAAAACGGATCAGACCACCGTCTCCTTCGTGCAAAATTCTACTTCACGGAGTGGGGAGAAAGGGCTGCAAAGTTTAAGAAAAGAATTCCCAGAACGACCACCAAATGGGAGCTCTTTGGCACTATTGCAGCAACATGGGAAGATGCCATCATTGACAACATTGATGAGGAATATGATCAACTGGTTCAGCACCTCCATGATTGTGTGAAGAATGCCAAGAGAGAGATAGCCACAATAAGATGCCTGTCTTTGAAAACTCTTGAGCTTATTAACCGCAAGCAAACGTCTGAGCTCGCAAAATAGTGCAGAGAAGAGATAAAGGAAGAACTCAAAGAGAGAAGAGCAGCAGTGCTGGCAGATGCGGTAGAAGCCGGGAAAAGCATTCACAGCACCTGCCTGTCCTTCCTTCGTCAACTACAAGACCAAGATGACTGCCCTCCAATGTTCTGATGAATCTATCACATCTTCAAGAAGGGCAATGGAGAAGATTATTCATGACTTCTACTTGGATCTCTTCGATAGCCACATCCACCTGCCCACATATCAAATTCCGCAGGATGAATATGTCATTCCAAGTGTTCTCCCTTCCGAAATCCAACACGCCATTTCATCCATAAAGATTGCAAACAGCACCAGGCCCAGATAAGGTCAGATCCGAATTCCTAAAGAATCTGCCGTCGGTACTCAACAATACACTGGCTCAGCTCTTCATATGCTACCTGTCTGAATGCAAGGTTCCATCCCAGTGGAAAACCAGCAGGACTGTACTACTGTACAAGAAGGGAGACATCCACAACATGGGCAACTATCACCTCATCTGCCTGTTGTCTGTCATCTACAAACTGTTCACTCAAGTCATCCTGAATAGAATTAGCAGAACACTAGATGAAGGACAACCATGCGAGCAAGCTGGATTCTGCAAAGGGTTCAGCACCATCGACCATAATACGATAACCAAACTCATTGAGGTTTCTCGGGAGTTCAAGATGCCACTCTGTCTAATGTTCATTGATTTAAAGAAGGCCTTTGATTCTGTTGAGACAGAAGCAGTCGTCGAAACCCTAGCCAATCAGGGCATTCAAACTCAATACATCAGGATCCTTCGTGAGCTGTATTACGGATTCACTACCAGGATCTCACCATTCTACAAAGAAGTGATCACCAATGTCAAGAGAGGGGTTCAGCAGGGCAATACCATTTCACCAAAACTCTTCAGTGCCACCCTCGAGAATGTCATGCAATGACTAGAATGGGAAGGAATGGAAGTGAAGATAGACGGTCGGCAACTACACCACCTCCGCTTTGCTGATGATATTGTTCTAATAACACCAAACATTAGCAAGCGGCACAAAAGGTGGCTGACTTTGACCGTGAGTGTGGAAAGGTTGGACTACAACTGAATCTCACGAAGACAATGTTTATGAGAAACAGTTTCGTTCCTGACGTTCCATTTGATCTCAATGGAATGACCATCTCCGAATGCAACAGTTATGTGTACCTAAATCGAGAAGTCAACATGATGAATGACCTGGCACCTGAGTTGCAGAGAAGGAAGAGAGCGGCTTGGAACGCCTTCAAGACTGTCGAAGGAATAGCTAAGAGGATGAAAAACCTCCGGCTCTGGGCACATCTCTTCGATTTCACTGTTCTTCCTGCATTAACGTATGCCTCAGAGACCTGAGCCCTATGAAAACATGATGAGAACGCTATTCGCTATTCAGGTTTCCCAAAGAGGAATCGAAAGAGTTATGCTTGGAGTAACCCGCTTCACTCAAATGAGAGAAAGAATCCAGAGTCCCAACCACCGTTGATGGTCAAGAATCAGGGACGCTGTCTCATTTGCCAAGATGTTGAAAATCAGTTGGGCTGGACACGTAATGAGATTTAGAGATGACCGCTGGACTAGAGCCATTACCGACTAGATTCCAGGGGATGTCAAAAGATCACCTGGCCGCCCACCTACGAGATGGTCAGACTTTGTCAAGACCCTAAACAATTGGTTTGATGCTCTTTGTGTTCCTAGAATGAGCAGACACCATTGGGCTACACTAGCTCGGGACAGGGACAAATGGAGATGTTACTGGTGCCTACTCAAGCAAATCGATGAGTAAAGGGATGTCAAATGATCAAACTTTATAATGATAGGAGGTTAGCAATAAGCAAAAGTGGTAATATCCTGGTTTTATGATCAACTCCTGAAGTTTGGACAGCTGAATATACAAGCACCCAACTTAAATCGACTTAGAAAAAGTACAGTAAAGGGAATTTGAATTAGGGTTATAAATTCCATGAATAGAAATTATCACCCTAGAATGGGCACCGGTGGAGGGATGGGTACTCAATCATTGTATAACTGAAACCCAAGCAGGAAAGTTTGTAAGTCTACAACTGTACCTCATGGTGTTTCACTAATTAAAAAAAAGAAAAGAAATTACCACCCAAAAAAGTGATTTTTAAAATTCTTTACCCCATTTTTATAGCTGAAACGATACTAGAACTGATTCTCTTTATATCTTAGCTTTTTAATTTTTGTTTGTTTGGGGGCCAAACCCAGTGATGCTCAGGGAACAGTCCTGGTAAGGACAGAGATTGAGCTTGGATCTGCTGTATAGACAAGAATCTTAACTCCTGTCCTTTCTTTCCAGTCCCTTTCCAGTTCAATTTTCATTGAACTGGCTTTATTTTCTCTTCAAGGGCTAGACCTTACATCCTAACCAATTGACCCATTAACAAAAGAACAAGTCTTGGATGCTGAACCTTAGATGATATGCCTATCTTTGAAATAGTCGTTGTAACTATGGATTAGAATATATGTTGCCTGACTGGGTCTTTTGTCTGTGTCTAAAAATGTGAAAGAATAACTTTAATGCTCACTCTCTAATAAATACCCAAACCACATGGACTGAGGAGAGAGAACTTCCATTCCCTGTACCCTCCCAACACACACATACACATGCACACTTATATACACACACATACACTCATACATACACACTCACAACTCACACCCACATACATCGTCACACATACACACACACACCCCACCACCACCACCATCACCACCACCACCAAAAACACTGACTA